TATATTTAGTTTTGCTTGGAAAAAGCTGCCCCAAACCAGTTTTATTTCATCATTTTGAAATAATGAAATATTTAGTAATAAACTTTTATGACAGAAATATCACTAGGCTACATGTAATTCCATTTAATTCCTTCATTATCAACACTGTCTAGAATAGCGATTTAAGTGTGAATTGCGACTTCTCTTTGTGTTAAGTCAGCCTCAGACTCCGATAGCCTGTGGGGGGTTGGAGGGACAGTTGCTGAACAAAGGTGTTAATGTTCCTCTTTCATATGGAGAGTGTCGGATAGCCAGCCTGATGAGCAGGCAAAATTATTGTAAGGATAAATCTGTGTCCAAATGTAGGCCCCATATTTTATACAAATTTATAATAGTAGTTTTAGTATATTATAAATATTGTAGTTTATTTATTGTAGCCTATTTAAAGTTTTTTTTCACACAAAATTTCAATTGAAGTTATTGTACGGTGAATTCAACAAGGCATGCTGTGTCTTTGAAGCAACAATTAAAGGCTAAATAATTTTTCCGTGATTTGTATGGCTGACACGCAGCGACATATACAGTAGTATTATCAGAGCGAGGGAGACTAAATAAACTTGTTAAAAAGAGATCCAGCGCGAGAGAGGCAAAGAGAAACGCATGTTTTTAATTTAAATATGTTTCTTTGGACAATTTTCGTTTTGTACTGTTTTAATTGTTTAATTTAGCTGTAATTTCTTTGGCAATACGAATTTAAAATGTCGCAAGAATAAGATTAGCCTAGTGTTTCTTATTTTGCATCGCAAAAGAAATAAACTCTAAACCGATGCAACCCTGTTTTAAATTAAAAAAAAACTGTCCCGACACTTTATTTAAACCTTGAAATGTTCGAACTTGGTTTCAAACATAAGTAATTTTTGTGTTCTTTTACATTACACAATAATTTAGCAGACTAAAGACGAGCTTCTTCTTTTTCATTTTCTGATGCAATCGGCTGAGAATCTTCCTTCATCAGTTTTTGTCGTTTGTGCAGCGGCTGCGGTTCTAAAGGAATGTAGCAAATTTATGTTGTAATGATAATCAAACAAAACTCTTGACTTTAAATAAGTAAACAGATATAAACAGTTACCTATTTAAGCATCAAGGTGGGAAAATATAAACGTAGGACAACATCGATTAACAACATGTATGCATTGAGATTCGATCTCGGGTCGAATGAAGCTCCTCGAAGCTCGTGTCGTTGCGTTGATCACTGAGCTACCGTCTGTACGCTGATAAAGTTGTAAAGCCTCATTCATGTAGCCTAAATGTTTTTATTGCAATGTTTTATGTTGAAATGTTTTCATTATTTATTCAATTACATTTCAGTAGCCTAATTTCAGTATTGTGATTATGAATTATTTTAACTACATTTCACTTGTTGAATTCTTCTGCTACCAGCTTTCAATCGCTCTGAATCAGCGCGGTGCGGCAGCAGATTACGCATTAGAGAGAATAAACCGGAATAAACAAACACTTTTCACAGTCTATGATTGTAGCGCCTCTTAGCGGTAAAAGGCAGCAAATACACCACACATTTTACCGCCGCGGTGGAAAGGCTGATGTGGGCATTGTCATGGCTTGCCTCGACATTTGCGTTTGAATAGCGTGCGTCCTCCGTGGGCGTGTCAGATTAACGCGTAATGAAGTGTAATGAGCTGGGGAAAAAAATACTGACAGCACTCTCTTTTCATACAGATTGCATAAACTGAGAATATTTGTTTTTTATATAAATTACTTCATTTAAAAGAAGAGAATTTAAGCTTCATAAAGAAAAACCTCTCGTGCCTGTGTGACAAGTAATCGCGGAGTTACAGTTAATCTTAGGACGCGTTTCAGAATGGACTTCACTGACAGAGAGAACGCAGAACTCGCATCATGTTTGTTTTTCTTTATTTGGTGAAAAGCACAACACTTTGTTTTTATTGTGAGTATCCACAAAAAAAATAGAAACTTAACAGGATCTAATGATGTACAACACTTATATGTAAGATCAAATTTAACCGAGTATTTTGAGTCTCTTTTACACTGATAAGAAAAAAAGCGAGACAATCGCGCCGGCGCGATAGCCGACCCCAGGGGGTTAAAACTCTCTCGGGGAGGTCCATAGGCTCCCACCGAGAGGCCAAAGGTGCAGTGCCCACAACTCAGGTTGGGGGCACCAAATCGTCCTGTTCACCTGAGAGAGGAGGTCCCATTGCAGAGGGATGGGCCACGGGGCTGCTGTGAGCAGCTGCGTCAGCTCTGAGAACCAAGGTTGGTTCCTCCAGAGAGGGGCCATGAAGAGGACTACATGTTTGTATTCCCTGATTTGTCTGATGACCTGAGGGATCAGTGCGATCGGGGGAAAAGCGTAAAGGAGACGGCTGGGCCAGTCGTGGGCAAGCGCATCCCTGGTCTTTGAGAAATAAGTTGGGCAGTGAGAGTTGTCTTCTGTGGCAAAGAGGTCGACCTCTGCCTTCCCGAAGATCTCTCATATTTTGTGAACCGTGTGGGGGTGAAACATCCACTCCTCCGAGGGGACATTGCTTCGAGATAGCATGTCTGCCCCTTGGTTCGCCCGGCAATGAGGATTCCTCCAAGGGGCCACGCAGCCCTGGCTCACCTTGATACGTAGGCGTCCGTGATGCCAGGCATGGGCTGGTACTCAAGGTTTCAACCAGTACTGTAGGGGCCGCATGTGCAGCAGACCTAGCTGAAGTACTGGAGATGCAGAGGCCATGAGGCCCAGCATCTTCTGAAAAGACCTGATGGTGGGAGAGGCCCCAATTTTGAAAGAGGCCTGAATGGTCAGAGCGCTCTCTGACGTGACTGCGGCCCACATTTGGGCCGAGTCGAAGACTGTTCCCAGGAACAAAATCCGTTGGCTGGGGGACAGTGAGCTCTTGGCGAAATTGGCCCTGGCGAAATTGAAGGCGAATCTCAACAATCGACTGTGATGGGGAGCTATCTGGATGTGAAAGTATGCGTCTTTCAGGTCCAGAGAGAAGAACCAGTCCCCAGTCTCGCATATTTGCGAGATCTGTTTCAAAGTAATCATCCTGAACGTCCATTTCATAAGGGCGCGATTCAGGCATCTGAGGTCTAAGATGGGTCTGAGTCCGCCATCTTTCTTGGGGACGAGGAAATAACGGCTGTAAAAGCCTGACTCGCTTTGTGCTGGCGGAACCGTTTCTACGGCTCCTTTCGTCAGTAAATTCATCACATGGGTGCGGAGGACGAGAGCTTCGCTGCTCCTTACCGAGGTGGGAACCACGCCGCTGAAGAGCGGGGGTCTAGAGCGAATTGTAGAGCGTAACCTCGTTTTACTACGCCCAAAACCCATTCTGACACTCCGGGGATGGCCTCCCAGGCATTGGCCCGAGTGGCAAGAGGTTCTATTTGGTCGAGCGACAGGCCGTTGTGCAGGGGCTTGGGGCTCGTGATAAGTGGAAGAGGAAAAGAGCCCTCTCTTTTGAGTATGTTGGTGTTCATTATAACAGCATGGGAGCGTGAAACTGAACAGGCTCAGAGGCTGCAACAAACACACTGTCTCCAGCACCGGGAACTGAACCGGGTGCTAGGAGACATAAACGAGGCTGTTTGGGGTCCCATTCAATCAGCACACTTAGACCCGTTCACTCAGCCCTGTAACCCCTTAATTGTTTCTTTGTCTCATGCTCGAGAGAAAGACAGCAATGGGGAACGAGGGGAGGAGCCACTTTCAGAGAAAGCAGTCCGTGAACGCAGCGAGGCAAGACTAGCGCTCTCGTAGCGCTGGACCTCAATGAACACGGCTTGCGGGGGCGGAGCCGGCAAGTGACGCGCTCAGAGGTTTGGGCATTTTGAAACAAACATAAGCTCTGTATACTCACCTGACAGAAGTAGGGGAGGAGCATCATTCTCAGAGATGCATAGGAAGCTAGCTTCTCATAGAAATCGCCGGATACCAACAGGGGATGTAGCCGAATCAGCTCGCTGCAGAGCGCTGTAATCAGCTCCTTGCAGAGCGCCGGTCTATCAGCTAGATAGCAGATGCCTGCGCTCCGAGTCAGCTTATCCGTTGCGAGGGCTTATTCAACAGCGAGAAGGCTTCTTCAGCTTAGTCTTGAAGTCCAGCAAAGAGATAGTCATCTTCGCTGAAGGAGAATTGATCTGAGTATCCTATGCCAGATCGCCTGCTTTATAGCCAGATGCCACGCCCAAATTGGCGCACTCTGGCGGGCTTCTCTGTCATAGGCTCGTGCAGCTCCGGTTCGTTTTATTACTCTGCACGAACCAATGGCCGTGCAGTTTCACTGCGTGATTAAAAAGGCTTCAGAATTCGGAGAAAAAAGGAGTTTTCCCCATAACAGCGTCTAGCGATGCAGTATGAGTAAAGTATTGAAAGGGAACTCAAACATTTTTGCTGAAAAACTCATTTTGCATTTTCCAATCTTGTTATCTATACTGCTGTTGTGTATAAGTTTGGACTTATTCCTATTTGAGCTCTTGACCACTAGAGGTCAGTGTAAACATTGGAAAACTCTAGTGATACTCGAATCCTCTTAAAGGGATAGTTCACCCAAAAATGAAAATTTTGTCATCATTTACTCACCCTCATGTTGTTCCATCTTGGTAACCAGACAGTTGACGGAACCCATTGACTTCCATAGTGGGGAAAAAAATACTATGGAAGTGGCTGCCGTCAACTGTCTGGTTAGCATTCTTTAAAATATCTTCTTTTGTGTTCAACAGAAGAAAGCCACTCATACGGGTTTGGAATAACTTGAGGGTGAGTAAATGATGACAAAAATTTCATTTTTGGGTCAACCTTCCCTTTAATGGACCTCAGGTTTACGTTACCGCCCAGGTCTATTTTCATCATCTAGAAGTCGAAACTCGATGCATTTGATTGAGTCTCAGTTTCACTAAGTGCTTAGTCCCTCCTGTCGTAAATTACTCAGTGGCTATTAAGAGAGTCCAGGAATCACACGGCTGCTCAAGGTTAGAATGAAACTCACTTGGTGCAGTCCTCCAGTGACTGGACCAGAGTCTGCTGGAAAGTGCTGATTTCCTCCAGGTTCCCGAGAATGACACTCACATCTGAGGTGCTCAGTCTATGAGAAACGATGAGAAAAGTCAATGCTTAAACATTAAGTCTGTACTTCACTCGAATAATAAAAAAACTTCAAGGGGATTGGTTAAATTCGATGAGAACAGTCAATGCTTAAACATTAAATCTGTACTTCACTTGAATAATGAAAAAACTTCAAAGGGATTGGTTAAAATGTTTTAATCACAAATATTTTCTTAATCACACTTGATTAACACACTGATGCTCGGTTTCAAAGACAAGGCTTAACTTGCACTGATATATCTTAAAATATGTCAGTACCATTGTTTTGACTCAAAATGCACATCAGTAATCTTTTATGTCTAAGGCATGTTTATAAAAGCTACTTAAATGGCCTAATTATACTAAGAGCTACTTATGGCTTAATATAAGCCTTATCTTTGAAACTAGCCATAAAATTGGCAGCCCTAGTCAGAGAAGATATAATAATGTTAATTTTAAAAGCTAAATTGAGTATTTTATTCTTGTGTTTGTGTGTTTTTTGGAGGATAGCAAGGGTTTTACTTTTCTGTCATCTGTAGAGGTCTCAGGTAGTTGGTCAAAAGGTTCTGGAGCTCCTTTGAATACTCTGTTTCAGTTTCTAAAATGTTCTGTAGCACCTGAAGACAAACAAACAGATATTTGTAACACTATGATTACTAATCAGCGGCGCTCATTCACAAATCAACTGAGTCTGATTACTGTTTATGCACAAAACCTACTAAATTAAGCAAATCAACCTGGTGACATTTCAAAAGGATATTTGATTAAAATGTACTTACCAGGTTGTAGTAGGTTTTACTGATGGCTGTGGTATCAAAACCTTTGGGGGGGCTTTTAAGAGTTCCAGATTTAGGGGACACTGGTTTGTCTGTAAGGCCACATAGATTGTTTTAATAAATGTGCACTGTGGAGTGATGTGCTAGAGAAGACCGTGTTTATATATTTATAATGGTCTACAGCAAACTGACACATACCTGACCCTTTGATCTCTCTGACATAATTGCTTGGAAACCAGCCTGTCTTGCCGTTGAAGGATCCTTCCCACCAGCCCCCTTCTTCTGTGCGAGTAACATTGATAATGTCACCCTTGCTGAAAGAAAGCTCATCCTCATTGGTCTGCTGGAAATTGAAGCGAGCTTTAACCACTAACTGAGCGTTACTGTTCTCCGTCATGTCCTATAAGAGAGAGAGTACTTATGCTTACATACAGCCTCATGAGTCAGAAAATCAAAACTGTCCCATTTACATTAATTAATATGTTTGCACAAGACAGAGTTTCAGGACACTACTTCTAAAACCAATAAGTTAAAGGTGCAGTGTGTAGATTTTAGCGGCATCTAGCGGTTCGGTTGCGAGTTGCACTAATGGCTCAGCCCACTGCTCCCCCCTCCCTTTCGAAGAAGCTACGGTTGCTAAAACGGGACAAACATATCGTCGTCTGAGACAGCAGAGAATAGCCAGAGTAAGCCAAGTTTCTGTACCACAGTCCATTATAAACCACATCATGGATAAAGTTTACAAAGCCATAGTCAGGTGAGGATCAAGGGTCTTAATATATAATATAATAATAGTAATCAGCTGATTGTCTCACGAACGTAACCAGCACATTTCTCCCCACATAGCAAACCCATAATACAGCGAGGGAGAAGAACCACATGAAACTATCCAACTACATATTTTTTCTAACAGGGTAGTAAAAGTTTAGCTGGCTAATATGAGCTGTTATGCTGTAGGGCTGTGGCTGAGCTGGTTAAAGCAAGCATTGTTTATACTCGACGTGTCCGCATGAGCGCAAAGGTGCGCGCGGCAAAAATGACGTGATTGTAACAGCGTGCGGGCCTCCGCATCCCCTAGACACCATTTACTACACACAAATTAATAAATAATAATGAATAAAAATATAGGTTTTTTTCTCTGGTTTTGAAAACTCTTCACGATCGACTTTAAATGCTTCCAAGATCGACGGGTTGGTGACTCCTGTAACGTCAATAGTACTAATCAGCTGATTGTCAAAGCCATAACACAGCGAGGGAGAAGAACTGAGTTACATGAAACAATCCAACTACATATTTTACACGACTGACAAGGGAAAAGTCACTACTCACGGTGTCTATGGCTAGCTTCTAGCTTTCTGCGGCTTCTCTTTCAAGGTATGAACGAAACGTGCTCTGTAGCGCTGTTTGTTCGCTGTCGGCTACGGTAGAAACATGACGTCACAATATGTCGACCTTCATAGAAGGGGGTGCCCGCGGTTATGTAGATATAAATGTCTCATTCTAAGGTAATAAAAACATAACGGTTCATTGAGTAAGGTCTTTATACACCACTGAACACATACGTAGTTATGGATCTTATATTGCATTTCTGTCAATAGATCCTCAGAAATATTACACATTGCACCTTTAAGTTACAAACATCAAAAGAAAGATATCTTTGCCTTTGTAACTTATCTAAAAAATATGCCAACATAACAGCTCCTCACATGGACAGTTTTATACACTACTGGTCAAAAGTTTGGTGTCAGTAGGAATTTTTTTTAAAGAGATTAATCCTTATTCAGCAAGGGTGCATTAAATTTATCAAAAGTGAAAGATTTTTATTTAAAATAAATGCTGTCCTTTTAAAACTTTCCATTCATCAAAGAACTCGTATGTATCCGTTTTCACAAAAATATATTGCAGCACAATTGTTTTCAACATTGATAAGAAGAAATGTTTAAGCACTGAATGATTTCTGAAGGATCATGTAAGACTAAAGACTAAAGAAGAGTAATTGGTTCAGCTTTACCATCACAGGAATAAATTACATTTTAAAATATATATTACAATAGAAAACAGTTAACTTAAATTGTAATAATATTTCACAATATTACTGTTTTACTGTATTTTTTGATCAAATAAATGCAGTCTTTGTGCGCATAAAGGGCCTTTCACACTGAGCGTGATTAAGCGACGCGAATGTATGTCGCGATGAAACTCTTTAATCGAAACAACAGATCCCTATGGAGCTATTCACACTGGGCGCGATCAATTGCAGCGCTACAGTTTCCTTTTTCCACCAGTGTATCGATTTCTTTCCCCATCGCCCAGCAATGAAACAAGCCGTCCAATTAGATTTGAGCTTACCCGAGCCGCTGCGGTTACACAAAAGTGTGAGATTGGTGGCACTGTTTTGAAAACCTATGTGATCTGAAGAGCTTGAAACAGCGCACAGAGCGCTGTTTTCTTCCGTGCGTGTCTGTTATGCGTCTATAATTCGCTTTAGTGCTGTCATGTCAATCATATTATCTGATCATAACTCCTGCCCTACCGAACGGCGACGTCATGTTCATTTCCTCCTTCTGAGTTCAGCACGGTTCCGCACATAAATAACTGAGCGAAATGTTTTTACAGATGAAACATGAAGCCAAATAAATATATGATTAGAACAATATACACTCACCGGCCACTTTATTAGGTACCCCATGCTAGTAACGGGTTGGACCCCCTTTTGCCTTCAGAACTGCCTCAATTCTTCGTGGCATAGATTCAACAAGGTGCTGGAAGCATTCCTCAGGGAGTTTGGTCCATATTGACATGATGGCATCACACAGTTGCCGCAGATTTGTCGGCTGCACATCCATGATGCGAATCTCCCGTTCCACCACATCCCAAAGATGCTCTATTGTGTTGAGATCTGGTGACTGTGGAGGCCATTTTAGTACAGTGAACTCATTGTCATGTTCAAGAAACCAATTTGAAATGATTAGAGCTTTGTGACATGGTGGAAGAATCCATCAGAGGATGGGTACATGGTGGCCATAAAGGGATGGACATGGTCAGATGCTCAGGTAGGCCGTGGCATTTAAACGATGCCCAATTGGCACTAAGGGGCCTAAAGTGTGCCAGGAAAACATCCCCCACACCATTACACCACCACCACCAGCCTGCACAGTGGTAACAAGGCATGATGGTTCCATGTTCTCATTCTGTTTACGCCAAATTCTGACTCTAACATCTGAATGTCTCAACAGAAATCGAGACTCATCAGACCAGGCAACATTTTTCCAGTCTTCAACTGTTCAATTTTGGTGAGCTCTTGCAAATTGTAGCCTCTTTTTCCTATTTGTAGTGGAGATGAGTGGTACCCGGTGGAGTCTTCTGCTGTTGTAGCCCATCCGCCTCAAGGTTGTGCGTGTTGTGGCTTCACAAATGCTTTGCTGCATACCTCGGTTGCAACGAGTGGTTATTTCAGTCACTGTTGCCCTTCTATCAGCTCGAACCAGTCTGGCCATTCTCCTCTAACCTCTGGCATCAACAAGGCATTTCCGCCCACAGAACTGCCGCTCACTGGATGTTTTTTCTTTTTCGGACCATTCTCTGTAAACCCTAGAGATGGTTGTGCGTGAAAATCCCAGTAGATTAGCAGTTTCTGAAATACTCAGACCAGCCCTTCTGGCACCAACAATCATGCCACGTTCAAAGTCACTCAAATCAACTTTCTTCCCCATACTGATGCTCGGTTTGAACTGCAGGAGATTGTCTTGACCATGTCTACATGCCTAAATGCACTGAGTTGCCGCCATGTGATTGGCTGCTTAGAAATTAAGTGTTAACGAGCAGTTGGACAGGTGTACCTAATAAAGTGGCCGGTGAGTGTATGTTCTGTATGTGTTTTTCATGCGGCTTGGGGTATTTCATAACAATAAAGAATGAGAAATGCTTACATAAGAAATGCTAAGCAGTTCAGTTTATTATAAAACACTACAAATAATGCACATCTGCTCATTACTTAATCAAAATACACTTTAGATCGCAGTCTGAAGTTATTACACGCACTCGATGATGGTTTCTGTGTAGTACCAAACTTTATTTATCTTAATTTACTGTTGTATGTTGTGCAGCAGATGAGGTTAAAGCCGAATGGGAAAACCTACAAGATACATACATGAGGAAAAATGTTTCGCATTCAGTATGAAAGCTCCGTTTGTCTGCGATTAGCTTAGCTTTATCGTGTCGCGCTCAGTGTGAGAGAGCCTTAAGACACTTCTTTAAAAAAGCATTGAAAAAAATCCCTGACACAAAACTTTGGAACAGTGGTGCAGATGTTATGCAGATATTTCCATTGTGATCTGGTGAGGTTGGTTGAGAGGTCTCACCCCAAAGTTACTCACAAGGCTGCGGAACTGGTTATGGAGCAATTTAGATGATCGTCCCAGTGAAGACTGGGAGGCCAGCGATTCGAAGGATTTGATCCGGTGGGCGGAAGAGTGACGCGTACATACAGAGTCGCTGCCGATGCCAATATCTACACCAACACAGAGAACACAGAAGAGAATAACAACCACTGGGAACATCTGTAACAGTGCCACACATTATTAGAGGAGCACATTCAGAACTTTGAACACATTTTAAACTGCTAATAATGTATTTTTAAGGAACACTATGTAACTTTTGGTTCAAAATTAACAAAATGATACATCAAACCCTCTTCCAAAACGTGTTTGTGTCTTACCCTGATTCACCATGGTAAGCCTATTTTAGGTGTTTATATTTTAGACCTGTCTAGACGGTTTTCATGGGAAATTGCAAACATACGCCACTCGCCCATGAGTGAAAAGTTGCTCCAGACTACTTTGATGCGTGTATGGTGTTGGAGTGGCATAGGTTAGTTGTCACAAGGAGCGAGAAAGGCTGACTCGAACCTCCGGGGAATCACCCATTTAAAAAAGAAAAGAAAAAAAAAACAGAGGAGAGTCTGCTGGCAAAAAGAGAACGCGACAGAGCTCCTAATAAAACAAGAATCAACATTGGCTTGGCTTTTCGGAGATGGCAAAACAGATGGATTTTAAATATTGTAATAAGCATATTTTATTGAACAGATAAATTGCCATATATAGCTCTCTAACAGAGTTCATTGTGAAGCATTATATATTGTGAAGTGTCATTTCATTATGGTTGTTGTAGCACTGTGCTGGAATTTATTTTCCAGGAAGTACCGCGTGTCTATTAATAGGTATAGCTACAGTAACGTCTTCAGCTAGTCACCTTGAGATCTCTTCCATCTAAACTGGTTATATCTCTTAAGCCGAGAAGTGAATGTTTTATGAGCAGTAGGATTACCATATTCATCTCCAGTTATGCAGAGCCAAAGCACAACCAAAACAATGTTCTTCTGCAAAATGCATGCGGTTTTGTTTTTTAACCACTAGTGGGCCAAAAGTTACATAGTGTACCTTTAAAAGAATAATGTTTTAAAAAATTAATTAATTCATATTGTGAAAAACTAAATGGGATAGTTCTAGATACTAGACTTACCTGCAGTCACTTTATTGAGGGCAACCAGTGTAGTGAGGACTCTGCTGAAGTTGTAGCCCTGAAGCAGGTCACCAGCCTCAAATGGCTATAGAGAGAGAAAAACAATACATAACATCATTAATCTAGACCACCTACAAGTCAGTTAAAACAGTGAAAGAGCCATATAGGACTCTAGCCTATTCCAAGCACATTAAAGGCCAGGGATAGGTCATCCAAAAATGTAAATTCTGTCATCATTTACTCACCCTCATGTCGTTCCAAACACGTAAGACATTTGTTCATCTTCAAAACACAAATGAAGATATTTTTTATTAAATCTGAGAGATTTCTGTCCCTCCATTTAAAAAGTTCATAAAGAGATTTCAAAACTAATCCGTATGAATTGAGTGGTTTAGAATTAGGCTGGATTGCTTTATATGATGAAAAGACCGAGTTTAGGTTTTCATTCACATATAAACACTGATCAGCGAACATAAACAGAAGCTCACCCAAACCTGCTAGACGTGCGAGAACAAACCTCATTGGTTCTTACGGAAGCCCAAACATGCTTCATAACACACGAGAATGAACCTCATTGGTTGTCGCATGTCAAGCATGCATGCTTGAGCTTCTGTTTACCACAACTGATGTGTGTGTGTTGATGAATGTTTGGACTAAACCACTCAATTCATATGGCTTAGTTTTACGATCTCTTTACGTTTGAAGCGTAAAAACAGTAGTTGCATGGACTGTCAATGGAGAGACAGACATCTCTCAGAATTCATTTACCGTAAATATCTTCATTTGTGTTTCGAAGATGAACGAAAGTCTTATGGGTTTGGAACAACATGAGGGTGAGTAAATGATGACAATTTTCATTTTTGGGTGAACCTTCTCTTGTGTCTCATTCTTGATCTCCAGTAGCTCACAATGCGCATGTTAGGTTGAGTGTAATGGTAAGCATCATTATGTGCTACACTGTAGCAGCAACAGAAAGGTTCCCAATTTGAATCCAAAGGATCTGTAGCCTGTCTTTAAACCGCATCAATTACGTACATTTTATTTGTGCCGACCTGCATGACTTAAGCAGAGGGCAACTGGCATGTTCGCTCTCTAGTCCATTACATCAGGGTTTGCTTTTGCCGTGATCTTATGGGAGTGACAGGTTGTAAAAAAAATATATATATATATATATATATAAAATGTGCATAAATAAACTATTTATAATAAAAACTGCAATATTCCATAAAAAAATAAGAATCTTAACTTCATAGTGACAGTAGATGTAAACATGTTATGTAAATAAAGGCCTGTAAATCAGGCCAAATATAGGCTATATGTAAATAAAATCATGAAACAACATAACATAATTCCACATAACCAAAAAATATATCATATCACTAAAGAGTTTTGTGAGCTCTTGTCAACTCCAGCTTACAAGTCAACTAGCTTACAATCAGAAAAAGTTGACAAAAAGTAATATTTTTCCACCTTAACCAATTGTGTACAGTGGAGCAATTTTGTAAAATTACCAAACAAAAATACCAAGATTTATCCCACAACTATTTACAAAACAGTCAAACATGTAAAAACCAACAGTGTTGACATGTTAAAGATGTGACCACAGAGACTTCAACATTGTTTTTTTATAAAATATGGAGGGAAAAACAACTTCCAGGACTGTGTCCTACTGTGGGATCCACAATGAGTAGGACATAGGTAAGGGTTGCTCAGAGTTAAAGATGCTGTTGACATTGCCTGATTTATTCAGAGTTGATGCAAAGTGAGGACACAACTTTGATAGGCATTTTTTAATGGAAAATATAAATTTAAGATTTACTTTTTGTATTGTTTGATATATTACAGATCTCTGCCTTTCAATTTAAATGTATATTTTTGTTACATTTTTTAACACTTTGTTTGGCAGTTTTACATTGTGACCTCATGCTGAAGATATTTTTAAATATTTTCTCTTGTATTCATTTCCTGAGTATACAGATTTCCTTTAGATGTAACTTAAGTATTTTTATTTTGATGAATTTCTTCATTTTTAGCATAAAGGGCTTTTGTGTGTACAATCAAATATAGTATTAGATAGACGTACAATCAAATAGTCCACATTCAGCATCTATGCAGACATTCATCAGTCATTTGTTATGTGTGCTGCTCGTTCCTCTCAGCAGGTGGTGTGGTTAGCTAAGGGTCACTGATGTCTCTTTGCTTATGAAGTGAGAAATCTGATTTGTTCAGCTCTAGATGGTCTGTCCTGTGTTGCTCTTTTGCAGTATTAGAACTGTTTGATTGACAGTTATGTGTACTTCTGTGAATGGACAGTGGCTGTGTGCATGTGAACTTCAGTGGGAGTAAAATATCAGCTTCCGCTTTACTTTCCGCTCTGATTACAGTTTATGCCCTGAGAGAAGCAAAAACAAGTGTGTGTGTGTGTGTATAAGTGGACAATGCATCATCTTGAGCGCATTGGCTTTCAAAGCAATGCTGCTCCTTCAATGCTTTACTACATCACTGTAGGAGCATATCTGTTTGGAAAATAATGCCCTACTTACGTCTAAAGCTAACATATAAGAATATCCATAATCGGTTTTATGGAAATTCTTTTATGTTCTCCTATAATTCCATGGAAAATGTAATTACAGAATTAAATTAAAAGCAAATCACACCTGAACCACACTTAAAAAGCAGTTTCAGAAACAAGTTTACGATGCAAGTTTGGGGACAGTAAGATGGAAAAAAAAAGAGAAACTAAATCTTATTCAGCAAGGATGCAATAAATTGATCAAAAGAGACATTTATAATGTTACAAAAGATTTATATTTCAAATAAACGCTGTTCTTTTGAAATCCTGAAATGTATCACTGTTTCCAAAAAACTATGATACTAAAAAATGTTTCTTTAGCAGCAAATCAGCATATTATAATGATTTCTGAAGGATCATGTGACACTGAAGACTGGAGTAATGATGCTGAAAATTCAGCTTTGCCATCACAGGAATAAATTACATTTTAAAATATAGCCTAGTAAAATAGAAAATATTTTGAAAATATCTACAGCCTTGGTGAGCTTAAGAGACTTTCAAAAACATAAAAAAAAAACTTTTGAAAAGTATAACACAATAAGAGCCACTGTGTTTTTAAAACATGGCTTACTCTGTCATATTTATAATATAACTGTTTCAAGAGTTTCATAAGGTGATGCCTGACACATTATCATATCTTTTGGGTTGCTTCCATCATATTGCAAAATAAACAAATACAAATTAATAAAGAAAATTAATTAAAATCTTTCATATTTAAAGTACTTAAAGGGGTCATCGGATGCAAAATTCACTTTTATATGGTGTTTGCATATAAATGTGTCTTTGCAGTGTGTGGACACAACCACCACAATGAAAAAAATCCATTCACTCCTTTTTTTTTTTAATCCTCAAAAAGCCTTTGAGGAATTTTAACCAAAATATATTACAAACTTTACACGAAGACCCTAAAGAATCATACCAACTTGTGGAAAATGGGCATCCGATGAACCCTTTAAGTAACTAGATTAGAATGATGTATTTGGTTTTGGCTGTACATAAATATAATTCCAGCGAAAACCATACGATTTTGGCCCTAATGTGGTGTGATTCCATATGTGAAATCAAATATAAAAAAAAAACAATAGGAATTGCATGATGGAGTCCTAAGAAAAAATAAATAAACTGCAGATCTGAAAATGTCATCATGTAGTTAAGCTTGAGATCACATCACAGCTGAATGGGCTCATGCAATGCTTCATGGTGAAGCAGCTTCAGAAGAGGCTGTTCAGAGTAAACTGGACACTGAGCAGATTAGTGAAAATCCCCTAAACAACAAATTTAGAGCAAGGGTATAAGCTTTCATCCCGTGAGGTCAAAATAGTCCTACTTTAATACAAAAAAGTGCAAATCAAACTCTCAGAAGATTAAAAAAAAGCTTTTTTTTCAATCAGGCCTATAGTTGTATCATATAACGTACATGATGTAAATCATGGGATGAGGGTTGTCATCCGGGAATGTGCACACAAATCATGGGCTGGAGTGGCAGACATTCCTGAGGCATAATGACAATAACATGTCCTTGCAATTTCTGTGACAAGCGCTCACAGCTGTAATGTTTCACATAAAATCCTAAAAATAAGTTTACTAACAGCTTATTTCTATTCCAAAATTTGCTTGCTGTGATGACAGGGTTGATCCCCAATAGAGCCCCAATAGGCATTGCAAGGTCAACCGGACACCTTTTAACAGGTCAGAGAGGAGCAAATTACTTTTACAAAGGTGTAACAACAAACACAAAAGCAAGAACACTCAATATGAGAAAACTCAATTAAGCACAAGGTGATTAAAAATGAATATTGACCTAAAGCCACATAATGCACAATGTCTTCAAGATTACTAGAAAGCTACAAGCAGGTGAGTTTTTACATTTAGAGCTAAAAAGAACCGTGTTGTTGTATGAAGAACATTTTATTAATCTAAAGAACCCTTTTCCACTATAAAGAACCTTTTGTGCAATGGAAAGATTCCATGGATGTTAAAGGTTCTTCATGAAACAATGGATGCCAATAAATAACCTTTATTTTTAAGCAAAGCCAGAACTGAAAGTATATGCAAACAAACCCTGAGATGAATTCATTAACACAATCACTGGCAGAACATTTACATCTCTAGACATTTTCATACCTAGATCATGGTGCAGAAGCAATCTTAGATTTACAATCACAATGACACACAAGACACAACATTATTCACAAAGATGGATGATACCCACTGAACTTGAGAAAAGGTTATAAGATATGGTCAGTAGGCTACATGTTTTAAATAATGCTTTTGACATTATGCGTCTACCAAGAGCTCCATATGTGACGTGGGCCTCAACCTCACCACATCTAGATACACTTGACAATACATTAGCGTTGCCCTGAACCATCTGTTCCTTAATAAATGCGCATAGATCAAAATCCTACTAGGCCTTTGTATGTCTTCCTGTGCATATTTGTGTCAAAACTGGCATGTTAATAACCATTTTTAACTAATCAAGCCATAAACGGTCTAGCCCTAATAGTGGACAGAAAAAAAAAACATTTTGTAGAAAAAAGACAGTATTTCAGATATATTTTAATTTACATAATACAATCAATACTACATATTATAGATAGTTTTAGACTACAATAGAATCAACCAATAAAACAAAATCATTTAAATTAATTGAATATGCAGCATGGGCCAAAATAATTCTGTACATCAATATTTGTCTTCATCATATTGGGGGTAGGCCTACTTGGCATTAAAAAGTTTTTTAAACACATTATAAAAGTCACTTCTGTTAAACTTAACCAAGCAGAAAACAAAGCTTCTATCAAAGAATCTATACCAATAACTCAAATTCATGCACTCAATTGAAACAGACAAACTGTACATGAATGGACAAAGCAACGCCATTCATATCTGACACAGCGCACAATATCGATGCTGTAGTGTACAACATCGCCCGCAAAATCTAGATATTTTGTTGACAATGCGTACAATAACCCCCAAATAAACCCTAGAGACGTTTTCAGAACATTACAAAGCTTTTGTCCCATCAGATTACGGCAATGAATCGATGTGCAGGGGGGCATGATCTCATTCACACCGGTCCAGAGTTGCGTCTCCTCTGTCTACTGCACGTCTCTTTTGTTGATTGTTTTCATTGTGGCGCCAATGCAGCAACATAACGTTACAGTACAGTCAAAATACCATAAATACACCAACTTACCTCGACGCGAAACACCGCGCAGCCCTTCAGAAACTCCGTGATGTTGCTCAAGCACTCGCTGTCGTTCTTGGGATCTTGAAAGATCTGAGGAAAACGGGAAGAGTGGTTGCAATGTGTGAACGCTTTGGGAGTGAAGGACTGGCTCAGGTATCCGGCACGAGAGTCCACGGGCTAACTGACTGACTGTAGACTGACTACAACTACTTTGCGAGTTAAACAGCACCGTGGAAGTGGACAGCAGGAGAAGGAAGTGACGTTTTCAGATGGACACCGAACGAACACAATGGGACGAACGGGAGGTGAACAACACACCCCTGTCTCCTGCTCTGGCGGGGGAAATCAAAACCGATCCGTCATTCAGATCAGGTATTTTGAGAGGTAAAAGAGGATAATGTAAATCAAAACATTCTTACAACAGTTAAAACATCAAAAAAAATGGGGGGGGCTCTTAGTCAAATTCAAATTCAAATTCAAAATCGACGAAACCCCAGAATTAATGTCAGTCATGGGATTTGTTGTATACTGCAGCAAGAAAGCACGTTGTCAAAGTGTTGTGAGCAGCTCACTAGACCAGCATTTGCTGCAAAAGGGAAAAAACACGTGGTGGATTGACACTGAAATGTGTCTGGGCTGGGGTGGAACCATAAGGAATGAAGTTAATATGTTCTGTAAATGTAAAAATGTTTAAATAAATAAAATACTTGAAGGACCATTTTTGCATTGGTTGGCACCATGTTGTTGAAACCTTCTTGAGAACCGTTAGGTACCCTTTTGAAAATAGCTTGAATATGTTACCTCAAAACATTTCTCCCTAATGGTGTAACTGTTTTTCGAGTTCTTTCAGGAACTGCAGTATAGGCTCCATTTTGTAAGTTCCCTGGAGACCTTATGCCCAGAGGTTCTCCAGAGGGTTCCACCAATGTGGCAATCTGTTTCTTTTCATTTGTACAGTGCAAAATTATCAGTGGAAGCAATCCTTGTTAATTTTTTTTCATGGGAAGCGTCTGCCAACCCACCCATCCTTATGTGAAATAATAATGATATGGATAACAGTATTTACAGAAGAATGCAGTGCAATATCTTTAGTTTAAGCCTGTAGTGTCTAAACCCTCTTTTAGGGCCCTTTCTTTCTGTTTTATTTTGTTTTCCTAAATCGATTAGAATGCAAATAACAAATGTATTTCTTTATAACAAATTGTAGTTTTATTTAACAATTACATGTGAATTTACAGTTAGACTTATCCACCCTCATGTCGTTCTAAACCTGTGCTACTTATGTTCATCTTCGAAAAACAAATGGAGATATTTTTTGGAAACCAAAGAATTCTTAAAACACGGTGCGTACTGCGTAATTCAACTTAAAAGGTGAAACTAATATATTATATAGACTCATTACATGCAAAGTGAGATATTTCAAGCCTTTATTTGTTATAATTTTGATGATTATGGCTTACAGCTATTAAAACCTTTTCACAATATTCTAATTTTAAATTTGGGGTTTTCATAAGCTGTAAGCCATAATCATCAAAATTATAACAAATAAAGGCTTGAAATATCTCACTTTGCATGTAATGAGTCTATATAATATATCAGTTTCACCTTTTAAGTTAAATTACTGAAATAAATGAACTTATGCACGATATTCTAATTTTTCGAGTTTCACCTATACATATTGCACTGTAAATACACAGTTGTTTTGATAACTCTCATAATAACACAAAATAAAAAAAATTGTTAATAGACAACGTTTTCTGGATGTCTATTATAATGTGCCTACAGCAAACATTCAGGCATCTCCAGAAGGAATGCATGTTGCCACTGTTTAAAAAGAAAAATTTGTATTTCTTATTACATAATTTCATAAAATTCATTGTGGAACATTAAAGTCATAGATCATATAACCACTAACCACATATTAAATTATAGGCCTATCTATTTAGATCAGTGTCAGACTCTGATTACTTGTTTTTTGTTTTTGCTACAGTATAAATCACAAACAAATACTAAATACACACCTGTGGATCTTCCTCAACTGTCGTAAGTTTTGGTTTATCTTGCTCTGGCCAATGTTACTTACTTATACTGACACCTACCGGCGTGCATGCAGCATGCAAAAGTAAAGGTTTACAGTAACGGATGCGACTGTTAATGCGGTATTCGTAGTGACCCATGATAGATTTATTCTGTGTTTTTTCTAGAATGGACAGTTTGCGTGATCAACAAAATACCAGCACTGGTATTTACATTTACATTACATTTAGTCATTTAGCTGACGCTTTTATCCAAAGCGACTTACAATTGCTATATATGTCAGAGGTCGCACGCCTCTGGAGCAACTAGGGGTTAAGTGTCTTGCTCAGGGACACACTGGTGTCTCACAGTGGATTCGAACCCAGGTCTCTCACACCAAAGGCATGTGTCTTATCCACTGCGCCATCACCACCCCCTACTTGGTATATTACATAAAATTCAGCACCATGCACGTGCCACTCAAATACAGGTGTGCCACAAACTGACTACATGTTTGAAAAATATTACTGATTTGTAAATATGTTTAGTTTATTTATATAGATTTTTTTTAAACGTAATTAGGCTATTTATTTAAGATTTTGTGCCACAATTACGACAGTATAACTGCTCAACTCATCTGTCAGTCACTACTGGAGGTGCCACAACATATGGCGACATGTTCCGCAACATTGGAAGTAGAAGTTATAGTGAAAAAACCCATACATTTACCAGCCCATAGACCCTCCCATCGAAGAAATCAGGACAGAAGTGGTTGAAAGTGGACAAAAGAGACGGATTATGTAACCAGGTATGTGTCCCTCATCTACTTGTGAACCGATCGACCAAAACGCATCTTAATACCAGGTGTTAACAGGGCCTTAGACGGCAAGGAGCAACAGTAAGAGCTTTAAGTTATTGTTAAGGCAACTGTCTAGATTGCAAGTTGATTTGCTGAAAGATGTTCACAAATGTTCGTATCAGCAAATCAAATTGTAATGTCAATAAATCTTTCCTTCTTTGCAGTGTCATCCTATTAAGAGCTGCAAAGGATACCTAAGACGGTACTGTAGGAAATGGATACTTCCTTTTGAGTCAGGGAGCCTAACAGCTGAAGCTAGGATATATTTATGTTTTGTAGTGAATTGTCAGGATGCTTTATGTTTGAATACCTTCAAGTGTTCTTTAAAATGGTTTCTGTTCTTTTAGAGCTACAAAATGGGGTAACAAATCTAGAAATGGCAGTAACTGCATGATCATTGCAGTCCGAGTCTGGTTTTGAGACAAATCTGCCCTGAAAGAGTTAAACAGTCTTGTTCTGATTATTGCTCAGAGAATTGACCAGAAGAACCTGAGTGTCTAAGATTGTTTTGTTTAATTATTGATCAGTTTCATATTTTGATAGTCACAAATACTGCGATAGATATTTGGATCATTATGTACTGATGATAATAAAGGCAGTGACATGAATAACACAAGTAATATTTAAAAAAAAAATATATATATATATATATATATATATATATATATATATATATATGTTGCATTAAATGACAGTTGCATTTAACATAGTTCTGTTGCACTCTGACTGGTCACATGGACAGTCCCGACAGAAACATGATGATGATGCCTGCACACCATTTAGAAAAGGGTCAAGTGCACTAATATTTCTTTTTCCACTTTAAGTATTCAAAATTTTGATTTTATTTTTTTAATTTCCTCATAGCCCTCTTGCCGGGAAATACACCTGCTATAAACATCCTATTATGCTCACAGTCAGAGTGTGAAATTTGGTAAGCAAACCAGATGGAGCTTCAAAAGAGGTTATTGCTGCTGTCATTGTCAGAGAGCTGACCCTGAATATGACTGATTTCTTAAAACGCACCCCCCTCTATACCAAACCAAGAAGGACAGACTCCATGCATTATTTATGGATAAGATGAACTGCTTTAGAAAACACGCTATCATTATACTTGAGTGCTTATGTGCTGACTACCTGACTTTAATTATAAAAAAGAATACATTTGAAGTCTGTACCTTCTGAGAGGCCCTACAGGCATGTTAAATCACTATATATTTGCATTTGCCCTCAGGCATTTTATTCAGTGGAATATTTAGTTTTTTCTCTGATACTATGAACTGTTTTTAATTTATTGTGTGATTTAATGTTATTGCATTCTTTTTACTTTTGTGCAATTTAGTTGAGATAAGAAAAAACGTGTGTTGAACTATAGTTGAATGAATGTTCCGAAATTCCGAATTGCATTGCATTGAAAAGAAGCAGATGCTTATGGGAATAAAAAAAAACACTGTTTCTTTAAATATAGCCTACTGCTTTTGCTAATTAACTGTCTATGGCGGCCAATTTTCCATGTTTGCAATATAAACCGGGATTCATCATAGCTAACCTTGATAATACCTAATAGATTAATGCTATTCATACACAGCCATGTAATGTAATTTGCACGCGCTTATCCTCAGGTTTCCATAACGTATACAAACTGTGCTCTTACACACAGTCGGTTAATATATGTTTTACTGATTTCCTGTGAAATATGACAGTCAAAGGCAAACGTTTAGTTTGGTATAAATCTCACAAAAAAATCGACGACTGACAATGTTGTTGCCTGGAGCAACAGCAGCACTAGCGCGCGCTGAACGCCACAACCGACCTGCTGCATGGGATGCGTTTACATTCATATATTACATTCATACATCTGTTTTGACCTACAAAATATACACTATATTGGCCACTTATGCGATAACACATATCCACGCGTGTGTAGAGTGAAGATTACAGGTAAAATGAACACTGAAACACGGTGCGCCAAAGGGAGGATGCGCGCTTACTTTATCAGTAGTGCCTGGACGCAGCCGCTCCAGCAGCCTACACAGGACAACCCCATCCTTTAGCGAAGACTGCAGAAATCCATCAGGGTCCGAAATGGTCTTTTTTGGTGATTCCAAAACCCCGAGCGTAATGAGCCAAGTAACCGTTTGCTCCGCCGGATTCATGGCCACACCAGCAATGTCGATGCTCTTAGTAATATGATTGTAATGGGGGGGGGGAAATAGGCTGTCTATTATCAACCAGTCGTTGAACTGGGAACCATTTTCTCTAAAACGTTTTATTAGTGGGATGGCGCATTATATGGCGCTCCATGGAGATGAGTAATGCTATCGCTTCGCTCCCATTTCCTTTACGACAAGCTGTCAAACGCCTTTCACTGGAATACAGTCAGCGCACAAAACCTGCATCTTCCGGCAGATGACATCACAGCACAGACAGCCGTTTTGTGACCAGTCTGCTTCGCATCCTGCTTTGCATGTGGACTGCATTCACCTGCTCTTTGCATGACAAATGTGTCATAACAGAGATCTTGTGTGCATTTGTTAGGAGACCTATTATGAGAGATTAGCGAGAGAGAGCGTTTCAATGAAAGGATATTGTAAAATAGTTCTATACACTAGTGGGAGGGTGAAAGCATGAGCATGTAGCCCAGCCTATATATATATATATATATATATATATATATATATGAGATGTTAAATATGCAATATGCTGCCCTCCCGTTATTAGACAGGTTATATGCTGTTGTTGTTAATGTTTTATCAGACTAGTGCATTTCTTATGTGATCCGCAGGGTGGCGTCCTTTGAACATTTGAAACTGGTTTCTTTGGCCTGCTGAAAAACATCAAAACCAGCCTAAAATGGTTTTATGATCTCAGCTGGTTTAGACCTAGCTGTTCTCCCAGCCTAACCAGCTGAAAAGTGCCCAAAACTATTTAAACAGCAACAGACCAGCCTGATCAGTCTGGGAGACCAGTCTTTTTTTCTCTTTCAAGCAGGGTAGGCAGGAAGTTAGAAATTTGTTGTTTATTATTAGTCAGTTATGTCTTTATCACTTTCAGAATAATGTTTCGGGTTGTTAATATTTTTGTAAATGTTTTTGAAAAAAAGTCTTAGAGGCTGCATTTATTTGATTAAGGCTACAGTTAAAACAGTAATATTGTGAAATAGTATTGCAATATAAAATAACTTTTCTATTTTAATATATATATATATTTAAATTCTTTAATGGCAAATTTCTCCAGTTTTCAGTGTCACATGATTCGTTTGAAATCATTTTAATATGCTGATTTGCTGCTCAGGAAACATTTCCTAATATTATCAATGTTGAAACAGTTGTGCTGCTTAATACTTTTGTAGAAACCATGATACATTGCTTTCATGATTCTCGAATGAATATAAAGTTCATCAGAACAGCATTTATTTTAAATCCTTTATAAGTGTCTTTACTGCAGATTTCACGATTTCACTCTCAGAAAAAAGGGTACAAAGCTGTCACTGGGGCAGTACCCTAAGGTACAAAAGATAAAAGGTACTAATACACCTAAAGTACTATATGTACACTTAGGTAATATGTAGTTTTGAAGTACTAATACTATGTATCATTTAGGGGTAAATAAGGTACAAAGATGTAGGCCTACTTCTTCGCTTTTTACCTTACTGCAATGACGGCTTTATACCTTACTTTTAATCAGAGCTTTAAGTGGCCCAAAAGAGGTGGCGGTACTCTATTATCATTTATTTATTTATTTTTTTGCTGACTCCCCTCCTCCCCTGAGGTAACAACAACTATATTGAAGGGGTTTTATATAAACGGCAGTCAACAGACGACCTTATAAAAAATAATAAATCCTTTTATTAGTTTGTGGATTTGCTTTAGCTAGAAAGAGCTAAAAAATTAAAATATTATTTCCTTAAATACATTTCTGACCACAAACTTTGAAACAGTAGTGTAGTTTATATATTTCCGTGACTTTCTCCTCTACTAAACACTGTGATAGCTTCCCATCCAAAGGCCATCCTTCTGTTGCAGAACATAGACCTTGCACAACTACAAGTATTGCAATTAACAGCACTACAAGTACTGAAATATTGCACATACTGTACATCTCATAATATTGGCACGTTCAGAAAAATATTTGCACTGCCACACACTTCCATACTTATTTTATAAAACAAAAAAAAATCTCAAGTACATATATTTAGTTATTCCTGCTATTAAATCATTTTTATTTTCTAACTCTCAGTATATTTATTTCTCTCTTCTCTATGCAATTCGTGCTAAGCGTCAAGGGAATTTCATAGTACAGTGTAACCCATCACCCTGTGCGAATGACAATAAAGGGCTTGAGAGGCTCAGTGCGTCTGCCGGATGCAACCTTTAGTTCCAAATTATTAATAACAAGCTCTGAGTAATGCGTAACAGTAAACTGGCGCAGTCAGAGTAACAAAGTATAATCTATCAGAATGTGATTGAAACTGAAACATCACATCTCTGCAAAAAGTTCATTTGGATTGACAGCATAAACCATCACTTTTCCTTTCCAGTTTACCACTCACTCCTGCTCCCTCCTGAATCATCTGGCGAGCTACCTTGAGGAATCTGAGTTCCCAGTGGGTCACCATGGATACCGGTAGAGGTTTAGTGCTCATCTCGAGAGTCGGAGGAGAAGAGAAGAAACCCCTCTGTGGCTGGGAGGGCAAAACATCATGTAACAAGCCTGCCATGGGACCACCCACAATCCCCCAGACCCACCATCTCAAGTAGCAGTAACCAAGGATGCCCCAGCTATGATTTCCTCCCAGAGCACGCACTAGGTGGACCCTCTCCCCTTTTTAATTTCTTTAAACATTTTGATTCAATTTTACATTGAAGTAATTACCCACTCTGGTTGTCTTGTCCTTTTTATTTTCCTCTGCCAATTTAAAGTAAAAATAAAATCAGTGTGTGTGTTTGTAAAATACCTTAATGTCACCATCTTACACCATCTGCGCTAATAGCCTTGTAAAATAATAAGCTAATGAGAGCAGTCTATATGTTATTACCCATCTCAATGGTACATTTAATGTACATGGTTCAGTGTATAAAAGACACAAAGAGAAGGCTGTGATTTGTTTATTGACAATTTAACATAACATGTCTCGCTCAACTGCTCTCTTTTGTGTAGGAGCGATAATAACAAAATAAAAAAATATTCTAAGACACATTGATTATTTAAACTCTCAAACACAAGCATGTCCTTTTGTCATATGTTTCTGAAGTGCTTTAGATTTAAAAAAAAGGCTTCACTGATTAATTTTAGTTCAATTCCGCATGTTATGTGTGATTTGTGTTTTTAATACTGCATGCTATACTCAGATTTATTGGTTTCTTTCTCTACACTGCCTCTCTCTCACACACCACTTGCTTTTTCTCAGTTTCAATCCATTTTTGATTATTTTCTTCCTCCAGGTGTGGCTCTCTCTCTCTCTCTCTCTCTCTCTCTCTCTCTCTCTCTCTCTCTCTCTTCATGAGGGTGAGTAATGACTGAGAGGTCATAAGAAGAGCGCTCTGTTTGAGTAATGAAACCACGACTGTGAGAAAGAAGGATGAGCAGCACATCTGGGGCATTCCTGTTACAACCATGCCAAAGACAAACACTGTTTTGTGCAAGAAAAGTTGCAAACCAACTCAAATCATGCAGCTTTATTGGCAGACTTATTTTTTTTATCTGATGATAACATGGATGAAAATATTCCATAAACGTACAATAAAGCTATCTTTATCTCATAGCCAATATAAACAATATACTGCAGTAAGGCAGAAATCACCACCTAACAACCCCATGGCATTGTGGTGCTGGTGATTTTTGACAAGCACCACTCATATTTTCTTATCCTTTTTTTTAAATTATAGCAGCCAAGTTTTTTTTTTTTTTTAGATGTCTGACAAAAAACCCCGAATACATCCTTTTTTGGAATACAACAAATCAAGATGCCTAGGTCGGGTGTAAGGGTAATTTGGGGATTCTTAGTCTCCTGTTTCACATACAGGGAAAGTGTGTCTACCTAAGCATCACCATAAATTGTCTCCTGATGCATTTATATGCTTAATGCATTCATATTCTGTTCGGCTGTGTTTGCATTTTTTTATTCTTTCATTTTAGTGAAAGGTATGATGCAATGTGGGGTGGGGTGTAGATGTACAACTATCTGGGAGTGTGCGGAGTATGGTGAGCAACACAAAGTTATTAAATATCAGCACACATTCAGACGCATCTGGAGATTCAGGGGAAATCATTTCATGCCTAATCCTGTTATGTGGATATATCATCCAACCTCCATCATCTTATATAAGCGAATTTTAAGTGTTTGCATTTGTGAAAATCATCTGTCTCCCTACTCCCTTACAATTACATGCAGTATAAGATAGCTTTTGTTGTCATAGATAGATAGATAGATAGATAGATAGATAGATAGATAGATAGATAGATAGATAGATAGATAGATAGATAGATAGATAGATAGATAGATAGATAGATAGATAGATAGAAATTATTTTTGCTTGCTTTATTTGTATTCCCAGAGGAATTTTGTGCTTCAGCTTATCGGTGACTGTTTCCCTCCTCCCTTCTTGCTTACGCACGAGTGTCTGAACGAGCATCTTCCTTCGTTAATCGCCGTCATAGCGCTCTGACGCGATGTTTAGGTGAGAACGCAGAGAACAACGTCTGTACATCAGCCTCCGCCCATCGCGTGCTTCCACACAACCGACCGTGCCTCTGATGCGTGACCTGTTGACGATCGTGCGGTGCGCGGTGCTGCGCTTCTGGAGCTGCCAAAATGGACAATTAAACAATCGACCTCAACATGCCTACCACTTATGGAAGTAAGGGAAAACTTGCAAGTGTTTGTTTCATGCTTCAGCACGCATCCCAGGTTAGTGTCAAATTATACTATGCTTTTAGTTATTTTGTTTTTCAGGTAGAAACAAAAACATGACTAGCCAATTTGATGAAGACTTTTTGGTGGTGTTATCTTATATATTTAATGTGGTTTATTATTATTATTATTATTAATATGTAGAAAATATGATATAGTCTCGCGAAACCTTTTTTTGTCTTTGCCAAACCTCAACTATCTTTAAACTTTTAAAACAAAACAAAGCCCTTGTTGTGTTGTATATGTTATATGTGAAATATAGCCTAGGTAAGTGGTGAATAATGGCTGTGTTTATGTTTGTCAATGTTTCGCCCGATGCTCCTCGCGAAAAGTAGCCTATACGAGCCGCGTACTGTATGTTACTATGGTTACCCCCTCAGTTGGACACGATTTCTCATCGCTAGCTTCTTTTTAACGTTAGGTAAAAATACGCGACCTGACTAACTTTTGTGGTCGTCTAACGTTAAATGTTTTAATATATGTAAGTTAGGTGTGGTGCTCAATAAGGAACAATGCAAACATTTGAAGAATCATGCGCTGTCATGTCTCTGTGTATAGCCTAGCCTACACAGACATAACTTCTGAGATGTGATGCTCTATGGTTTTGTCAGTTGAACTGGTTTCCGGTGTGAATACCTTTGAGCGCATCTTGGTGTTTTCAGTTTTGCTGTGTGGCGAGCTCCGCGTTGATTAGGTGCTACGAAACATTCAAATTCAAAATTTAAAAAACTACTTCCTCTTCTGTCACTCTGGAGAGCTTCACTCTGTCTATCAAGGCAATCATCACCTGCCTCTCCTATTGTTACATCATGTTTATCTCTTCGCCTTAGTATCTCAGTTTGGACTTCTCCACAGAGACCCGGTGGCATCAAGGGGATTTTGCCTTCTGTCTGACTAGAACTCGCTTGTACTAATATTTAGGCTATTGATGCAAATGTGAGAATAATAGTAATTAAAAAACAAACATCCTGGGAGAAGAGAGTCGAAGTTCAGTCTGAGCAGCCGAGGGCGCAGAAGACCAGTCACATACTAAGTGAGTATGGTTAAATACACTCAGTTAAGCTGCTAAACTTTGGGAATGTCTCTCTCACACACAGGCACACTCATTCACTGCTGCACTCATGCAAACACACAGGCTTCACAGATGACTCATTCTCAGTCATTCTGAGCATAATGAAACAGGTGCTGTGGAGGAGGCTTATAATAAAGCAAAAAGTAAGGGATCATCAAAATATACATAAGTCAATTTCCTACAGCTGTGCGTGAGTCAGCCCCTACACTGAGAGCTTTTGAGGACACTTCAGTTCAGACAAGTGCATGTGTGCAGCAGGCAACCACAATGGCAATTGCCTGCAATATATGCAGATGTCAGCTGTGCAGCGTTTATTCAGCAGCAATTTATGAGTAATAATAATCACAAATATGGAGCATTCCTTTCTTATAGATATCTGGGGCATCTTTCTATAAATATACAGTATAAAAGGCTTTTAATTCTTGCACATTAACTATATTGGAATGTCATAAAGTGTACAAAATAAGTAATACTACAGGGCTGTTGAATGCTTGCATCTGATTGGTTGTCGAACGTTCTAAGGTGTGCAATTATTTTCAGGGAAACACACGGCTAAAGTAGTTCCAGGCAGGTCTTGACCGCAGTTCCATATCACTTCGCCAAATGATTTCAGTTATTTCAAAGGTCTTTACAGCCTATAACAGCAAAAGAGCCAAAACCCACAATGACACTGACCAAGCAAATAAATATAGTAAACAATAGGATAGAAATGACAAATTATTTCTATGTTTTGTGCCAGAAAATAAAATTTTATTATGTATGGACAGCACGTAGGCTACTCTATCCCGCTCTCTCGCACTTAAACACACAAACCTACAGTGCGGATACAAACTCGCACAGAAACGTGTTGTCAGCGCTGCTCTGATGATTTTATCAGTAAAATAGTTTAACAACTTAAAAGCTACATGACATTTCTCACTAGCGATGTTATAACGGCTCTGTTCTTGGAGCTGATAAACTTACAGTTGTGTTATTAGTAGAGACGCTGCTGCTGAACACTGTTGAGAGACACACAGACTCAGGTAATTCATACACGCTTGATTCTCTCTCTCTTTCTCTCTATAACTGCATTAATAACGTACTGCTATCAGTGGCTCAAGTCTCCTCTAAAATTACGTTTTGGAATTAGCAACGGAGGTTTGGGATTATATGCGTAAATCCTACACCCAAGAGCATTTTAAGGACAAAACCTGACAAATGTCTTGAAATACAACATCTGAAAAAACTTTTTAGGTGTGGTAACCGTAGTATAAGCGGAATAATTGACTCTGGCCTGTTGAATTATTGAAAAATAATGCACACCCGAGGTGTAACAGCATTACCACCTCAGGTGTGCATTATTTTTCTAATATTTCAACGGCCCGTCGTCAATTATTCATTACTTATTACAAATCTTTCTGGAATGCTTGATTCTGACTGATCAATCACAAAAATCTTTTATCAAAATGTTTTGTATATAATAGTCGGTAAAATCTGTAACAGCATAATAAAATAATTTCAAATCAATATTTCATGTAATAAGTATGATAACATAGTCATTTACACAAAATAACCCCCCCACCCCAGGGTAAAACCCTTTAGATATACATACATCAGCTCTCACATTATGCCTAACTTGTTTTTATTTTATTTGAGCTACTGGTTTTTCTTCCAACTCATCGGTTCTACTGCAAATCCCAGTGTGACTTCCCTTCCATTCAAAATACATCCTTAAATGCTAATAGAATATTCAAATGAAATAATCTCTGCAGCTCTAATCCAGACTGGGGACAAATTGTTCTTGGAATCAATATGCTTACGCATAACTGCACTTAAGTATTGGTTAAAAGCACCATAGTGTCTCTTCTCTGCAAAAATACTACAAGAGACACGCTCCCCCTGACACTTAAACTGTACATTAGCATGGGAAGATCATATGGTGATCTCTACAAAAAAGGGTTGGTGGCATATAGTATTTCTCTTGGTAAGCATTAAAGTGGAGTGTAATTCAGCAGTAGTAATAGGATACAGCACCTGTCAAAATGATTGATTGACAGGTGGGCGTGTCTATCCTTTGATCTCCCCCCGCCCCTTCCGGCTCCTCCCCTTCCTGTCCCGCCCCTTCCGGTTACCTTTGACCTAGTTCCGCCCCTTACGTTGCAGTATTACTTAATCCTATGACCAGTGTTCGTAACAGCTACCGTACGCATATAGGGCTGTCAAAATTGCTCAAATGGCGTTTGTATATTCCCTCTAAAAAACATATTTGAACATATCGTCGTGCATTTGGTCAATGACGCGCATTACGTCAATAACAGGACAAATTAATACAAAGAGACATAACTACTAGTATTAAGTAGCTTATTTGAGTTTAAACATATTTGACAACATATTACTACATAAAAAACCGAGTAAATCAACTAATGGCCAAGACCGCAGAGCTCACTCTGGCTCGCCCGGACTCGCAGGCGCACTCTCTCTCTCTCTCGCACTCACCCTCACGCTCTCCGCGCATACCGGTTTAAATGAACAACAACAAACAAATGTTGAGTGCTGATCAAGAGTTTTGTGCAAGCAATTTAAGGTATATAGCAGGCTTCATTCAGTGATTGAAACAAATACATTAATTGAAGTTTCACAGTACATAGAACCGACACTGAGCGCTCCGAGCGAGCTGTGCTGTGGTAACGTTAGTCTGCTACCGCGGGCTTGTTTTTCCACATTCGAATATTAATTTTCACCTTCAAAATTCAGTTTTTTTAAACTATTCGAATATATATTCGTATTTAGAATATTCATTGACAGCCCTAATGCATACTGAACGGATAGCCTACAGCTATTTGCAGCTCCCTAAATACAATGGCAAGCAAGCAGTTTTATAGACGAGTCATTCGCGTTTTCCATTTGGACCCACAAACTTGCTTAGCTATATAGTTGCAACCACATAACAGTTATAGAGCAACGTGTTTCCATTTTCAAAGTGTTTGACAATATTTCAGCAGTCAAACAGTTAAAAGATGCTTTGAAAGTTTAAAAGTTACCGTTATCTTGAAGCGCAGGTTGCACTCTGCTAGTGGGGGAGGGACAGTGCAGGGTCTGCACGTGAACTGCAGCGTCTCCAGCAGCACAGAGCTGCCTGTGGACACCTGTCTATAAATAATGCCGGGAAAAAACTATTGGCGAACGCAGCAGCCGCGTATCGGCCGATTCAGATACACGTAAAAACCGCAAATATCGGCCCGATATATCGGCTGGCCGATATATCGGTCGATCACTAGTCAAAATGATGAACTGTTTGAAGTTTGTTTGATCTAGTTCCGCCCCTTCCTGTTACAGCTTCTGTCAAAAATGATGGATTGTTTGAAGTTTGTTTGATCTAGTTCCGCCCCTTGCGGGTACAGCTTCTGTCAAAAATGATGACAGTTTGTCTAATCGTTTGAACAAGAAAAAGGGTGTATAGGATGTGTGACAGATAGTTTGAGATGTATTGGACTTTGTTGTTACAATTACAAAGCGGTGGATTGTTATTTTTTAGCGCATCCCCTCGCTATGCCTAAGCTTATCATAGCAGGTGTGTGTGAAAGTGATAAGAAAAAACTGTAAAAGTGTATCTGTTCTGTAAAAGAATATAAAATAAAATCGTACTAAAACCTCACACAAAAAGTTTAAATAAAATGGAACCACAAAAATATTGCAAACAGTTAAAAATGTATTAGAGAGTTGAAGAAAAAGACATACAGCTTATAAACCAGTGTATGAATGATCTCACACTGCCTTAAAACAAAAAGAGGTGCTCTATGTGTGTGTGTGTGTGTGTGTGTGTGTGTGTGTGTCTTTGTCAGAGCAGTAAAGGATGCGCCGCATGCACTTATCTGTCTGTTTAGATAAAATAAAATAATCTTACATGTTTTACAGAGTTGGAAGAAAAATCCCCCGCTAGAGCCGG